AAAAGAAAAGAAAAGAAAAGAAAAGAAAAGAAAAGAAAAGAAAAGAATAAAAATTCAGTGTATCTTACTATGCCTGAAGGTAATGTCATTTTAAGAACAAGATACATTTGCCTATTATTCCTCAGCAGACTGAGTTTGCTAGAACAATCATAGGGAACTTCACTTAAAATGAGTTATAAAAATCAATAAAAATAAATCAATTAAATACAAAGGAGTATGTTGTAGGTCGGGATGAAGAACGAAACTGATAAGGAGCTGAGCTATCTGCCCTTTCTTCTGACCCCAGATGTCTTCAAAATTTTCTCATTCACTTCTAATTTCTCTTTCCATTTTTCAGTCACCTCCCTCCAGGAAGGAAGTCACATGCTCCTGTCACAAGGATTTTCTCTGGTATGCTCACCCTTACAGAAGAGCTCCACCTATAACTTGTGACAGGTTTTCCTATAGTTTTGTGAAAGAGAGGACAGCACCTTAATTTTCTAAACTTAGCAGTGGGGCAAAACAGCATGAGAGGGTGAAGAGATTTATCCATTTTCCCTCCAGGATTTGTGCATGAAGCAGGAGTGAATCTTGCAATATCTGAGACCAAGTTATTAGCTCAACCAGAGGACTATTTTCACTCATGACTTAATATTCATACTCTTGATCCCAGACGGCTGCCCACAAGACATAATTTTATGAGCTTGGGGGTCCCAGCAGAAGGAAAAATTCCTCAGGAATATCCTTGTGGTTCCACCATGTCTGGGAAGAACACAGCCGTTCACAGCGGCTCACACACGTGTGGATTTGCAGGGACAGTTTTCCTCCCAAAGCCTGACCTCCAGCTGAGCAGGGGCCAGAGTGTGCTGCTCAGGAATCTCAAGCATGGATCTGCTGGCCCAACCACAGCTTTCCCTTTGCCCAAAGACCTTCATGCCCAGGGGGATATTCCCAACAACACGTTACACGGAGTGGAGCTGCGCCCACGCGGTCTTGGACATCACCAAAAAGCCCTTAGGGAGGCCTCACAGCATCGCTCTGTTCTTCTGAGCAGGGAAGGGAAGTTGCAGACGGAGGCTGGGAGAAGCATGCTGGCGGCAAGGGCTGCGCCTCTCTCCTCCTGACAGCCCTCATCCAGGGAGGCAACAGCTGACCTTTATATTTACCTCACAAGACTTGTCAGTTGCTATTCTTGCTCTTGAATAAGGGCTAGAGAAGGCTGCACAGGCACGTGTGTGAGCCCTCCATGCTGTTAATGACAATGTTGCAGGAACTAATCTCACAGTTATTGGTAGCAACAAGGAAATCCATCAAACAAGCACTCCCTAGGAGTGCTGAGCAATTGGTATTCCTGGTCGTCTTGGCGTCTGGCTACATTTGGCCATGAGAGAAATGTTGATGGTTAGCTGAGCGTGCAATCTGTTTGTCTGTCTTTGGCACAGACTGGGGCAAGGACAAGGATTAGTGTTTGCATCTTGCACACATCAGGAACAACCCACTGAAAAAGCCAGGTTCACCCTACTTCACAGCAGCAGAGACAAGGACACGCATAGCCAGTACAGAAAGCAGAGTCTGGGCTCCAGTGAGTAAAATGGGGGATGCTGAACCAAGGCAGGGCAAGTGCCAGGCATACGGGCCAAGCCTCTGACCAAGGGGAGACC